GATTCATAATAATCCAAGGTAAACTCTATAAAAAAGTATATGGCAGGTCCATACCTCGGATGCTTGGAAGACCCTGAAGCTGCAGAAGTCTTGAAGGACATACATGAAGGAGACTGTGGCAATCACACTGGGGGCAGATCCTTATGCTCCAAGGTATTCAGAACAGGATACTACTTGCCAACCATGAAGAGATATTTTTTTCTACATGCTCAAAAGTGTGATGCTTGCAAAAGACATAGCAACATCCTATATCAACTGACAGAACCTCTACATCCTATTATCTTTCCATGGCAATTCATGAAATGGGGAATGGATATAGTAGAAAAATTACCAATAGTTATAGGAGGAAAAGTCTTCATGTTCGTGATGACTGATTACTTCTCGAAGTGGATCAAAGCTGAATCATTCGTTCAGGTTACAGACAAAGAGGTAGTCTCATTTATTAAACATAATATCTTGACCATGTTTGGGATCCGTGCTGAAATCATATGCGACAATGGATCCCAATTCATAAGCAAGAGGACAAGATACTTTTACACGAGTTGGGGAATAAAAATGATAATGTCCACTCCTATTCATCCCCAAGCTAATGGTCAAGCAGAATCTAGCAACAAGATCATAGTAAACAAATTGAAGAAAATGCTAGATGAAAAGACAGGAAGATGGGCAGAAGGGCTTCCTTTCGTCCTATGGGCAGATAGGACTACTTCCAAAGTAGCCACGGGTCAGACCCCTACTCCTTGGTGTTTGGGACAGAAGCAATGATCCCTACCGAAGTGGTGATCCCGACAGCAAGATTCTTGCTCCAAAATCAAGAAAACAATGACATGATCCTAGCCGAGGATTTTGACGTTGTTGACAAACTCTGAGATCTTTCCAAGATACGCATTGCTGCTCATCAACAAAGGATCACCAAGGCTTACAGCAAGTACATAAAAGTAACAAGATTCCAAATAGGAGACTTGGTATTAAGGAAAACATTCCAAAACACCAAGGATCCTGGTGCAGGTAAATTAGCTCCTAAGTGGGAAGGACCATGTCTCATAGATGCTGAAGGAAGAAAAATATCATATTGGCTAGCAAAACTCGAAGGAGACATTTTGCCATGATCGTGGAATGTTATACATCTCAAAGCATACTATCTGTAAATAAGATCAACTGATCTTCAACAAAACCGAGGTGCACATGTTCTTTACCTTAAACTTTTCGTCATTACTTACTTTCTCCTCGAATGCATTACTTACTTAAGCATCGGAGGGGCGTTAGCTAGACTAACGCCCACCTCTAGTTAACGTTTTCTATGCATATCAACGTACAGCTAAGGATCTCAATAAGGAATGATCCTGAAACATAAGCATCCTCAAGGTGGAAGATCTCGAAACATAAGGATCTTGACACACGGAGATCTCATCATCTTAACACTTAGACTATTCCATTATATCAACGGTATGATCTTTAAACTATCATATACACAAGCTAGAGACTGATCATCTCTCCTATGCTTAAGGATACTTAATCCCCTCTAAGGTCTACTGAGCTAATTACCTATTTCACACGAACTAAGGTTTATACACCTCGTTTGAACGCACGATATCTAACTATGGGATACGAATAAGGTGATCATTTCACGATGTAGTGGCTTCGCAACCCTCTTATCTTTGAACATAAGTTAAGATCCTTAAGGTTTATAACATTTTCATGTTATCTAAGATTGGGATCTTACCCCATAAATTACATATGGTTTATAACATCTTCATGTTATCACACGTTGGGATCTTTCCCCAGATAATACACACGAATCATAACATTTTCATGTTATCATAAGTAGGGATCTTTCCCATGAAATATATCACATGTTAGGATCCTCCCTAGTAAATAACATTAACATGTTATCAATTGAACTAATGGTGTTACCCAAGAACTTTGTCAAGGTTTATAACCTAAACAGGTTATCCTAAGAAGGGAATTCCCCTGTATGATCTCATCATTAAGGATCCTCATTCTTAAGGATCTTCATAATTAAGGATCCTCATCGGTAAGGATCCTCATCAGTAAGAATCTTATCATCGGAAGTCAACAGCGATCCTAAGTTCATTCCTAAGTTGAGATTTATCCTCGGTATATTCTAAGATTGAAAAACTTATGAAGGTTAAGGAAAAACTCGAAGGCAATTAGGTTCCATCTTTCCTTGTTCTTAACTTTGAAATTTTTTAAGTAAAACTAAGGATCTTAAACTTTTTAGGATCCTAAACAAATTGTTGATTTATAAACTTTCATCACTACAGAGTCGTTTAGTATTTTAAATTGATATTTTTAAAGAACTTGTAAAGCACTTTGATTTACGAAAATTAGTTCTTAACAAATTCTTCTATACTTGTTTTATTATAAAAATTATTTGAAACTCTTAATGATTAGAATTCAGTTATCAAACTTTTAAAGAAACTTTTAACATTTTAAATTGCTTAACTGTCACACCCCCAAACTGGAACGGCGGAAACTTTCGGGGGCGGATGACGTCATGTTCAGTATCACAACAACTGCATAATAGTAATCAAAGCACAACAACCATGTATTGATAAAGTATAAGTTTTTACATATGTGTTGAAGTCATTGTATATATATGAAACCAAAATGTATATAACAAAAACTAAAAGACATGAGTCTATGAAGCCCCGTCTTCTCAAAACCTGTGGATACCTGTTTACTGATTTCCTGAGAATACAAGTAGTTTTGAAAAGAGTATCAACAATTAAGTTGGTGAGTTCATAAGCATGTTTGTAATTGAAATCTGTCATTTGTTCTTTGAAAATGTAAGCATGTTTTCCCAGAAAATCCTATATTTTCTGTTGTAATGTATTGTAATCATAACGTGTAAATGTTATTGTACTCTGGAAATAGTATAATGTAGTTTTAATTCATATGAAACCATGAAAAGTATGTTTTCTCTGTACTAGCATAGTATTCTATATTTGTACTTGTATGAAAACTGTTTAATTTAAAATGCCTAGATTCACCAGCTATACTTGTAAAATACAGTATTATAGTTTTATTATTTAATAAAACTATGTGAAGTTGCCACTTATTCATACACTAATCGTATTTTTCAATACCAAATTGTGAGTTATTATGACCATTATTGATGACCTAGGATGGCCTGAACATGACGTTCTTCAGGCGTCGAAATCGATACGACATTTGTCACCCCAAGCATGCCGGCGAAACTGTAGCGAACAGTTAAGGTGCAGGATTGCCAGTCTCGTATAGATCTATACACAAGTGTCATGCTCTCCCTCCAGGAGACTCTGGTTATAATTTCAGGACTTGGTTGGTACTTAGATAAGTACATGAAGTATGTCTCGCAAATACTATATTGACGGTTACGTGTAGAATAATAAAATGTTACTTTGTAATGGATAAACTTGTAATGGATAAGTCTGTCATGTACTCTGAATATGTAAAGTAGTACATATGATTCATAAACTATACTTATTATAATTTATATGTTTGTTTCCCGTATTGAAATCTAAACTTTGAAAACAATATGTAAGTTCCATAAACCATACCAATTATAGTTTATATGTTTGTGTTTTACTGTGAGGAAAACCTTTTTATTGTTAATAATTCGACAAGTTTAAATCGAAAAATCTGTGATACGGTTGTTCCGTGAAATTCAACATTTATGTCCAAATGGTACTAAAATAGTTTTCAAAATTTATATTTTTGTTTAACAAGTTTTAAATGATTTTATACTTATATAAATACAATATTTATATAATTATGATTAAATAAACAGTCAAATAAATAATTTTACCCTAAGCCCACAACCAAACAAGGAACAGGAAATGGAGTCAAATTATCAATTCTAAGTCTGTTGAATCGTAATTATATAATTTATATATATATATATATATATATATATATATATATATATATATATATATATATATATATATATACTAATAACGGCAACGATATTGAAAACATTTAGATATTAACACAAAATTTCTTGTGTTACACTTGTATTCCCCCGTCCCCCTAAAGCAGTGAAAAATCATGAAAACGTAGGGTTATGAACTCACCATGTGTGTGGGTTCCCGGTTGGTTACAATGTGGTCGTGAAAATTATCGGGTTAGAACACATGATTATAGCCGTATCCTAATAACATTATACACAATATTGTATTTAATTTATCGAAGTAATAATTTAAATATTAAGTTAAAGTGTTAAATAACACTTAATATGTAAGAAGACTTACCAAAACTTGAATTTATTTGGAAGAATTTGTTCATTATGAGAGTTGGACAGGAGATGGCTCAATGTTTGGGAGAGAAATGAGGTGAAAATCTCTACGGGAAGTATCTAAAATGATCCATTTTGGTTGCTTAAGTATGAAGGAAAAAGGAATCGATTTGGAGATTTCGGCCGAAATCACATTGATTTCGGTCAAGGTTTTCGGTATGAGGTGTTGTTTGCGGTCCGCATGTTTGCGAACCGAATTAGGGTTTGCGGTCTAGCTGTTTGCGGTCCAAGGGAAGTAAGCATGCGAAGGTTTTCGGTCGGATGGTGGGGCTAGATGCGAGGGTTCTCGGTCTTGTGTGTTTATTTTCAATTTTTGCAACATTTATCTAATAAAGGGTTTATATATATTAAAATGTAAATTTTAGCCTTGACAGATTAACAATTCAACAAATTTGACTTTTATTTAGCAAGTTTGACTTTTGTTGACCTTGGTTGACTTTTGTTGACTTTTACAGACTTGAAAATAACTGGTTGTTACATTAACAAAGTCAGTTCTTATTATTTTAACTTATTACTTTTACTTGTTTAACTAATTCAATCCTTATCAAATCATTTTATCTATTATTTGCCAAAAGAAGTTTATCTTGAAAATTATTCACTATTTTCAGGATCCGAACTACTTAAAAATCTGGGTACTATATTTGACACGCAAAATTAGACAGGAAAAAGAAATAAAGACAGATAAATGGGAAATACTAACATGTCATTCAAAAATTTGCACACCAACCTACTAAGGCAAAAGCTAAATGTCTTACATAAAGCAAATACTACTTAATTTATCTTCTTGCAGACCTAGACCTTAGTCTAATCATCATTGGCCCCATCTTTCTTTCCTCCCTCCAATGGATGCGATGCAGGATCCTTAGTGACAGGAGCAGGCTTGCCAGTCATATGGGCTAATGCCTCAAGCCAACCAACCTCATTCCAGGATCCCTAATTTTTAAAATCTTTAGCAAGCTTGATCTTAGCTTCCGAAATAGCTATCACAGCGCTACTCTTCACCTCAGCAATCACCTCTTCAATCTCCGCAGCATGCTCATCCTCTTTCTCAGCCTTTTCCTTACTCAAAACTTCCACTTGCTTCAGAAGATCCTCATTGGTCGCCTTCCACATCTTTTCCTGTTCCTAAAGAGCCTGTTCAGCTCTCTCATCCTTGAGCTTCAAATCGGCAGAGATATGGTCGAAAACCTGAAAAATATCAAATGACAATAAGAAATAGAAAAATAACAATGAATGAAGGAAAAAATTACGGCTTGAGTAAAAGTGGTCAACTTCCTGAGAGCATCCTCAATGCCAAGATTCTCTAAACCAAAATCCACAACTTTAGAAGGCTTCCGCTTTCGGGATCCTGAAACCTTAATTGTAAGGTCTACGTGAGATCTCTTGGGAGTAGTGTTGGAACCTTCAAAGATCCCTATAAAATCGAGATCCTTATCAATCTAAAATAAGTATCCAATCAAAATAATGTTACCAGTAGCCATAGAAGCAGTAGTAGAAGAAACCTCTTGGAGACTGGAATATTCGAACCTGAACGACCTTTCAAGTGCAGGAAGTGCAAGAATTTTGGAAACCTTGTCCTCGGAATCACCAGTAGTAGGAACAAGCTCCTCAAATTTGAATGTTGCATCAAAACAAACAAAATAAGGTAAGTAAATTTCAAGATCCTTCAAATATAAATTCAAATCCTACCCTTTTTAATCCATGTTTTTGGCAGGAAATCCCCATCGGGAATCAAATCACATCTCACGAAGAACTATTTTCCTTCCAAGCACTATCATTTTGTTTAGAGTTCAGAATGAGGTGGGGCTTGTTTGTCTTAACTCTTAACAGGAAGCGAGAATTGTCAAAAGTATAAAGATCATAAACGAGAGTCAACTCAGGTAACCCGATGTCCATATTCTTGAACTGATTCAGGCGATCAATCCAAAACAGGATCCTCCAAACCACAAGCATAGCTTGGATATAAGAAATGTCGGTACTCGAAAAGAAATCATGAATGATACTAGTAAAACGATAAGTAAAACCTAGAGTAAATGGGTATTCAGGAAAGCAAACCCACGTCGGAGAAATAAAATTCGGTTGAACGGTGGCCTCAAAACGTCGAAAAACTACATCGGAAGGAAAAGGCCCAATGGCTTTCAACAATTCCATATCCTCATCGTTGAAGGAAAAAACCTCATCATAAGATAAGATTGCTTTATCACTTAAGTCATTCTCGGGAGAAGTAACAATGCTAGCTCGAGAACGACTAGTTTTCTTGACCATGACGAGGAAAATCGGAGGAACTAAAGAAAACAAGTAAGAGGAAAATTTACCTTCGCAATAATATGATCATGACTGAAGAGAGTAGAGAAGAAATTAACAGAAGCCTAAATTTATAGCAAAGAAGAGATAAGAAATATGATTTCACTGCGTCTTGGTTACCTTGAGATAGATTAAACTTATCCATTAAGGGACAGTTTTTAAACTCTTCTTTATCTCCTCTTTTTAATTTATTTCTAAGTTATCCCTTTAATAGTCTCGAAATTAACTCCTATATTTTCAGGAATAATGTGGGGGTAATTGTTAGGGACAGGATCCTCAAAGCATTCAAGATCCTCAAATCTCATCAGATGTTCAGGATCCTCAACTATCTCAAGATCCCGACTATTACCGTTATTATTATTTACTAACATTTATAATAATTATATTTCGTTCTTTATTAACACATGTGCAGAAATAGTCCAGAAAAGACTTATTCTCAACAGAGAGTCGTCTCAACTATGCTAAAGACCCGGAATACCAAGTCAAACAACGTTCACAAAACTGGTCATCATAGAGGATCCCGGGAATATCGGACATCTTGTTAGCTAGTTTAGACTATAAATTGACACATGTATCTCGCACACGACACTCTCTACTTATTCTTAGCTTACTCTACGAACTTTTTCACCTGTTCTTACTGAAATAATCTCTGTAATTATCATTTTATATTAATAAAATCGTCAAGGCAGGTGATCATTATCACCTCCAAAGGTTTTGTGCCGGAGATCCTAGCAAGGATCAAAGGCTTTCCTTGTAAATAATCGTGTCATTCTCTTTACCTTTCTCTATTGCACAATTCGAACATCACAACCTCTCATTCAATTTGGTTGATTTATACTTGTGTAATTTTTGACCAAAACAATCATACGATTTCGGATTTTCCTCAGTGATTTTCTAAATCTTGTAAGACTAACGTGTTGCCTTATAATTGGCATTAACATTAACTTGTTGTCTGAAGTTGGGATACTCCCCTAAAAATATACAAGGCTTGTAACATTATCTTACAAAACATGAGTTTTCCTGTTTTTTTCTCCTAGATGACTTTATTTCCAATTGATTCTTAAGGTGGTATCCTTCCCCAGTTCACTAAGTTAAGGATCCTCCCTGATGAACTCCTAAATCAAAGATCTTTTCCATATGGAAGCTTCAAGATTTCTCATGAGTCAAATGGTTGCAAATCATAAGGATTACCAGGTTCTGTCTATTTGACACTTACACTACATCAAACACCACAACCTCTCATACAATATTGTCGAATTCCATTTGATCAATTTTTGACTAAAATAATAGTATAGTGAGATAACTTACCTGGATAATTACTCCGACGATTGAAAGATATCCCTCCAGCATAACGGGTAACATGTCTAACATATACTAACCTAGAATATTATACCTTAATAGTTCCTATGACAATATGATCATGAAAGCTAGATCCAACACTACTCCCGATGACTACCGAGAGTTCTATGAGATAAAGATCAACCAGGCTGGACAGTAGGAGGCAGGATCATTTTGGCATATAGCTTTTCTGAAATCCAACAACCAAGCCAACGTGACCATTCTATACACCTCTCCCTTAAGTAGATCATTCAACATTATAATCGGGATTAATGATAAATCTTATTTATATATCCATAAAAACGACTATGAATATAAATATAAGTTACACTAGAAGCGTAGCTTAACTTATAGTGACCCTAGTGAAAATTGGGAAGATCATAGTGTCACAACTAGCATTTTTTGCTAGGAAATTTTGTATTCATCTAATCAACTCTTGTATAACTTGTAATCTAAGTTGATGTCATGTCCTATGCTCATTCAAAATCAACCATTTGAATCAAAACTCATGAGTGAAGTTCAAAACCTAATTCAATGCATCTCGTATACTCAACTATGGGTTTGAAACCCTAATATCCTGGTTCAAACTCAGAATGGACCAGGATCCTGTTATTGGGCCTAATGGGCCAGTAAACTCACAATTTGGTTATTTTGGGACAATGAATCCTATTTGGGCCTTAAATAGACCCACATTAATTAAACAATAGCATTTTGTGCCATAAGACTTCTCATGGGCGTTATTGGGCCTAAAATGTCTCACTTTGTTGTCATGGGCCTTAATAGCCGTGAATGCTTTCTTGAACCTTAAATGGGCCGTAAACTCCCTTTCCTTACCACTTTTGGGCCGTAAACCCTCATATGGGCCCAATGGGCCGAAAGCCTTCAAATCGGGCCTCATAATTTCGAAAATAAGCAAACAAGGCCCAAACCCTACCCCTTCTCTTTTCCTCCCCCCTCATTCTCGGCTATACTAAAAAAAGAAAAGAGAAAGAATGGGATAATTAGGGAGTGCCACCTCACTAATGTCTAGAGGTTAACCAAGCAATTGTATATCAAATATCTATGCTAATCTCATGTTCCTATGGAACCATATTGTCTCAACTTCTCCCTCCTCCCCCTCTTCTTCTTATTCTTGGCCACATTCATCCCATCCAAACCTCACACTCTCACTTCTAAACTTCACTCATAACTCTCAAGAAAAGCTCTCACATTCCCACCTCTTAAATTTCGTATGTATCTTGAGAAAGATCAAGAACTCTTCTTCAAAGATCATCACTCATTTGGTAAGCTACTCTCTAAGTATGATGATTAGCTTCATTTTATGATAATCTTCACTCCTTAAGACATCATTTCGTGATCCATGCCCTTAGATCCACCTTAGGTTCGAGATCTACTCAAGAAAGCTTGCTAAGGGCCGAGATCTCTCCATTTTCTTCATCACAACCGAAATCATCAACCCATTGTGAGTTTATACCCCCTATTTTCGGTTTTTACTATGTTTTGGGGGAGAATACAAGTTGTTTTGTGTATATCTATGTGTATATGCATGATTTTGTTTGTTTTTCATGATATAAGTGTGATTATGGGTTATAAACTTCATACACTTGAAAATATACTAACTTATGGTGATATTTATACAACATAACACCTATTACAACATATTATGTAAAGAAAAGGTTTAAAACACTTCAAAGTTGTTTAAACCTAAGAAAACTTGCATGAGAGGGCCAAAAATGACAAAATACTCAAATGTGAGGTTATTTATATAACTCACGGCTTTAAGGGACCAAAAAAAAGGATTTATTTTTGATAAATATGAGTCTTTATGGTATTTGCAATTTTCAACGGGCTAAAAGTGTAAATTATCACAAATAGGCCTCATTTGGGCTTTCACGGCTTTTGGGCCAAAATTGTAAATTTTTGGACTTTCTGGGCTTAAGTGTCATTTTAAAAAAAATGTGCAAAAAATGTAAATTTTCGATAAAAAGGGCTGAAAATGTAAATTTATTAAAACTTGGGCCAAAAATATAATTTTATTTATAAATGGGGCCGGGAATGCACATTTTCATAAACTTAAGACAAAAATGATATTTTTGACAAAAGTGGGTAAAAATGTTATTTTTACTTAAAATTAGCCTTAAAAACAAATTTTTGGCCTTAAAGGACCTGAAGTGTCATTGTTACCAAAAGGTGCCTTAACTGTAAATTTTCGGTTTTAAGAACCAAAAACGTCTTTTTACTAAAAATGGGCCTTTTAATGTCATTTTGGTAAACAACTAAAATTAACAACCAACGTAATAACAAACGAATCAATTACGTCACTCTCATTCTTATTAGGTCTGGAATATAATTTACATGTTTAATGGGCCTTAGTTCTCTTTTTCATGTTTATTAGGCCTAGAATACACCTTGCATGCTTATTGGGCCTGTATTATAAATTACATGTTTAGTGGGCCTTAGTTGTCATTTTACATGTTTATTTGGGCCTGTAATATACCTTACATGTTTATTGGGCCTTCGTGGTCCATTTACATGCTTGTTGACTTCACACATTCACAAACGTACACGTTGGGCTATGAAAACTAAATACTTATACGAAAAATAATATATTATGTGCAACTTCATACTTGCGTAAATTTGGTTAAGGATCTTGTGAGACATTTTGGTTGACACCTATTGAGTGTACAATCGTAGCCTGTAGTTATAACCAGAGTCTCCTGGAGGGAGAGCAAGAGTTTGTGTATAGATATATATGAGGGTGACACCCCACACCCAAGCTGTTCGCTACAGTTAGACAAGCCTAGTCTAGGGTGACAAACCTTACCATAAACTCGTCGGTGTCCCAAGGAACGTCATGACAGGCGAATTTGTCATTATTAAGTATGGTTATAACGACTCACTTAGAGGAATTAACACCATTATAAAATTTACGGAATACAACATCCGTCGATAATACGGGAACACACTCATCATTTCTATTCAGTTTTAGGGTAATGAAATCACAACGTCTTTTTATAAAAAGACAACATCGGGTTGCTTGGAATTTTTCACTTCATCCACTCACAAGCATTAACACACATGCATTAATACAAGATCTAACACAAACATTTCAAACCGTTTTCAGAAAATATCGGATTTTCTGGTGTTTACAAAGCAATACAAAACATTTTAGTCAAAATATACTTATGAACTCACCAACATTATATATGTTGACCTTTTTAAATTAACTTGTATTCTCAGGGAATCGTTGAGCAGGTTAGTCAGCAAGAATACCTGGATATTTTGTTGTATTTTGTTAGTACTATATTTTGATATTTTGGCTTGTAATATTAAAATACAATACTTGATGTAAACAATGAAAGTGGTAATATTACATGTGTGATGATGATGATGATGTTTGGTTTCAATTATATACAACGTGATGATACTACAAAAAAACGAAGTCACCCAAGCCCCCGGACGTTTCCGCCGTCTGGTTCGGGGGTGTGACAGATTGGTATCAGAGCATTGTTTATAGTGAACTGGCATATCTGATCATGCAAGATATGCAACTATAAATACAATGAGACTAAAACACTCTGAATAAAATAATTAACATGCATACCTAGGTGTGCACTAATACTATAACATTAAAGGTCTCTGGAGGAAACTGAACACCGCGGTTAAACCTGGACAGTATGTAGTCGTATTAGGGATAAATAGAGCCTGATCAACTATATTTATTCAAAATACGACCAACATGTGTTTGGGAGTGATCTAGGTGGGCAATGAATCTAGAAACTTAACAACCTTGTGTTCAAAAACCTTTAAGGAACTCAAACATAAACAATTAAAATACTATAGGAGTATTTGGAATGCAATCTACACTCTCCTTACACATTTCTCACCCCTCATGCAGACCCTATGGCTGGATTCCATCACCCAGGAGATCCCTATTTCCCCAACCAGGGGAATGGAGGATGGTTAGAGTCGGAACCGGAGGAAGAGCCGGAGGAAGAACCAGAAGAAGAACCCGAGGAAGAACCTGAAGATGGACCGGCAGAACCGGTAGCAGACTCAGATGAGGAGGAGGCTGATGGTAGAGATGCAGATGACTCGGACGCGGAGTCCGAAGTCATTAATCCGTCGTACATGGCCAGAGTACCCCCATACAGGATGGGTCCCAACGGTCCTACGCCCCCATGGGCACATGAGATCTGGAGGTGGAGTCGCTAGCAAGGGGTGCGTCCCCCATTCGGTATGAACCAGGACTATTACGACCTGAGTCACGGTGGACCTTCAGACCGAGCCCTGCCAGTGATGGTAAGGAGGATGCGCGACATCGGCGAGTAGGTACAGGCAACCGTCAGTCAAATGGTTGCCATGAGAGTCGCGGTTGAGTGCGAGCAAAGGATGACACATGAGGTAGTCAGGGACAACCAGGCAAGATAGACATCACCGGAAGCCTGGGTTCGAGTCACCCAGCATCACCTGGCCAGACTCCAGGGTGCATCTACCTCGTCGTCAGCTCCACCAGACCCTTCTCGCCGCGACTAGGATCGGCTTCATCCATTACCACTACCGTGATGATTTTTTTGTATGTACTACTTTGTGTACTACTGACTACATGACTAAGTGATTACACTACTCATGGAGTCGTTGCGCTATCGGATTTTATTTCCTTTCATGCATTGTATGCCTTATAAAGGCAAATTTTCATGTATCAAAAAGATTATTATTAATGAAAGAATTTATATATTTTATCATGATGTTGTTATCTGGTATGTGTTCTATTACTTTTATTTCATGTTTGTGACAACCCGAAATTTCTATTCTGTACAACCTCTCACTTCAATAAGAGTCAGAACAGTTTTTGCTAACTTTCAGGCTTTTTGGATTAAGTTCTAGTGTTTTAAAGTTAGTAATTCAAGAGATGACAGGAGAGAGGATGCCCTAGGGTTTATTGTGCAACAATAATGTCCCAAAACTCCAAGAGTTTGGAGTTTACAGCCTAAACAAATCTGTTTACGGCCGTAAACCCTAAAAAGGGGGTATAAATATGACACTTAGTCATATTTTACCACTTTTCGCATTTTCAAGATCCAAAACCAAATTCTCTGTCAAGTATCATCCAACATTTCTTCAAGATCTTCAACTTGTAAGTGTTTCTAGCCCTAATAAGTTGATATCTACCTTAATCTAGTGATCTAACATGATTCCATCTGTGAAATCATTCCAAAAGTGTAGATCTTCAAGTTTCACCAAGAACACCAAGAACACACACTAGTGTTCTTGGACTTTTAACACCTTTTCAAGCTTCTACCTAGTAAGTACTCCTACCCTAGTGGATTATAAAGCTTGTTACACTTCTAAACATCAAGAAAACACCCAAGAAACACAAGATCAAGGTGTTTACGGTCCAAGATGTTCTTGGACCGTAAACCCTAAAAAGGATGCCAAAGTGTGCCCTAGTCCCTTCTAAGCCTTGGAAACTAGTCTATACCCCTTCCTTATTGTGCTTAGGACTCAAAACAACCAAAAGACCATAATCATTTGGGTTTATGGCCGTAAACCCAAAGGGAAATGGTCTAAGGACCGTAAACTCCTAAAAGGAGTGAAATGGTGCCCTAATCTCTTCCTAAGGCTTAAAAATGGAGTAGGAATGCTTCTTGTGATCTTTGAGGCTTCAAAACACAAAATGGTCAATGAAACATGAGTTTACAGCCGTAAACTCATGGGTTTATGACCGTAAACTCAAGGAGTTATTGTCACAAAACCGTAAACTCCAAGGGAGTTTACCCTTGAACCCTAAACTCAATAGCAAGGTCCTACCACCCTTAGATGCAATTCTTATGACCTATAGCACTTAAATCAAGTGTTTTACATGTCTTAGGATGTCTTAAACTTGGCTAATTAGTTGTTTTATGCCTAATTGGATACATATATGTGATTATATGTTAACTAGGATCATTGTCTGTGTACAAGTCTTCACTTGACACTTAGGATCCTACATCATTCTGTTCATCCACAACCACCCACTACAGGTGAGTTCATACCCCCTTAATCAATCTTTTAAATGATTTTAAATGCTTTCATGGGGGGGGGAATACAAGTAGAAAACAGGAAGTTATAGAATCAATCGCATGTGATTTATAACTATGTTTTCAACCAACCGATTTCACATACTTCAAAATGTGATAAACACAATGCTTTTCAGTTATTTTTACTTTGTTATCAACAAATTACTTTTGAATTATTTTATAAACTGACATCAAGTCATTATTATTTATTGTTCAAAACTCTTAAATGTTTTACAAAACCTCTTTCAATTTACTGTTAAAAAACCATATCTATACACTTATGTTTCATGTATATATGTATTGATATGAGAGCTTTCATTCTTTCTTTAGTTCCAACACTCTTGAGTAGCAAGGGTGTATAAACCTACTTGGACATTCAATTTACATTCCAGTAAACTATTATAGGTATAGTTTAGCGGATACAAATTACTATTCCTATTACAAGGAATTACACAAGAGTCAGTTCATTCATGAGTCTATACAAATTACTATTCTTATTACAAGGAATTGCACAAGAGTCAGTTCATTCATGAGTCTATACTACTATATGAAGAGATACTATTACATGTTTCCAGAGAGAAATACTATATATATACTATACGGGACTGACCATCCTACACCTGGCTGCTAGCTACAGCGGGACCTGTTCATCGACGGATGATCTCGGTTGTACTGTTCGGCGAGTTTGCACGCTGTGTTTATCCTATGGCAACAGGATGCGATTTCAATGATTATATAATTTTCCCTATTACTTTTATTTTGTGACACATTCACATAAACGATGAGGTAGACTATATTTTTATAATAATAGTTGTACAGGGAAAAATCTTCATTGATACAGAAATGCAAACCTTCAAAGCATTCGGGTCTTGGTAGAAGACTACTTTTTATACTAGTAGGAAATATGGGATTTTCTAGGGTTTTCACACTTATACTAAATGTTTCATTAAACATTTACAAGTCTTTCATAATAGCTTTTCGAATCAATGACACCATAATACTTCTGAATTCACCAGCTTTATGCTGATCTACGCTTTCAAAATAAATTGTATTCTCAGGTCACCAGTAGACAGGTACGATGACCAGGTTTTTGAGAAGACGGAGCACAGACAAGACTCGTCTTTTATTTTGATTACATATTTTGGTGTCTTATTACAATGAAAGAACACTCATGTATTAAAACTTTACTTTTAATACAATGGATGATGTTGTTGCTTGTTTACTACTTTGCACTGTTATGATACTTTACATGACGTCCTCCACCCCTGAATGTTTCCGCCGTTCTTGGTTTTGGGGTGTGACAATGTTGATGGTATGCACTCATTTACACGCACAACCGAATCATCTTAATTGTTCTGTATTCAAGGAATCTCCAAACTAGAATGCGCTAAATACTCAACATCTTCCTGTTCCATGACAGAAGATGTCTCAAAGACCGAATCGCAAAAACAACACGCCACCAACACCATCGGAGGTAAACTCAGTTGCGTTCCAAGCAACAGTGTCAGTTGCGGTCACCGCAGCACTGGCACAGATTCAAAACGGAAATAACGGTGGAGGTAACGGGCAAGCAGCTGGAAGTTTAAACCAGGGGATGAACCAAGGACCCAAAAGGACCTGTACCTACAAGGATTTAACGAATGGAAAGCCTCGAACCTTCAACGACACAGGAGGCGTGATAAATCTAAAGAGGTGGAGAGAAAAAGTTGAATCAGTATTCGAGATCTGCGGATGCCCGAAAGAGTGCAAGGTGAAGTTTGCAGCTTGAACATTCGTCGATCAAGCGCTTTCTTGGTGGAATGGTCACGTGGAGGCCATGACACTCCCATTGGCAAATGATATGCTATGGGAGGAGCTTAAAGAAATGCTAATGGCGGAGTACTGTCCAAGAGGAGAAATCCAGAAGATGGATCAGGAACTGTGGAACCTCACAGTTCAGAACTCCGACATCAATGCTTATATCTTGAGGTTTAGTGAGTTGTCACTCCTGTGTCCAGGCATGATCACGTATGAAGGAAAGAAGATTGAAAGATTCATTTGGAGATTGACCTCTCCAATTCAAGGAAATGTAATAGCAGCTAACCCGGAGACATATGACAGTGCTAAAAGATTATCCAAGAAGCTCTACGACCATGGCAACAAGAAGGGTGCAAAAGCAGGGGAGACTGAAGTCAAGAAGGAGGGAAAAGATAACAAGAACAACAAGGACAACAAACGAAAAGCACGACAAAACCATGAGTCATCGAAAAGAAACAAACTGTAGCAGTCCACGCTGCTACTACTCAGGTTGCCTCAGCACCACATGCTCCAACCTCAACTACGCAAACCACAACCATTCAATACTCGGGAACCTTACCTAAGTGTAACAAATGCGGCTTTCACAACCATGGAGAGTGCAGAGAATTACAGTGCACAAATTGTAACTGTAAGTGCCATACCGCTCGATACTGAAGATCTCAACCTCAACAGAACCAACAACAATAACAACAACAACAACAACAACAACAACAACAACAACAACAACAACAACAACAACAACAACAACCACAACTGCAACAACAATAACAACAACAATAATGTTGGGGCTAGTCACACTTGTTATGGGTGTGGAGGAACTATCCATTTTAGACGCAATTGTCCCAAAGCCAACAACCAAGGATCAGGAGGATCAGGAAGGGTCCTGACGTTGGGTCAAGGTGAAGTAGTTCAAGACCCGACGGTTGTTACCGGTACGTTCCCACTTAACAACAGTTACACATGCATTTTATTCAATAGGGGAGCCGAGCAGAGCTTCGTTAGTAACAAATTCAAACACTTACTAAAACAACAACCCACGAAGCTAAACGAACCAGTCACGGTGGAGATGGCTAATGGGAAAACCGAAACAACGAAAGATGTTTACGTAGGGTGCACATTAACACTAAACAACCATTTATTTCAAATAGATTTGATGCCAGTAAATATTAGGAGTTTTGATGTGATAATCGACATGGATTGGTTAAGCCCCTATCGTGCTGATATTATGTGCCACGAGAAGGTCGTTCGCCTTCACCTCCCCAATCACAAAACCATAATAATCCATGGTGATAAACATGGCCCCAATCTTCGTCTTATCTCGTGCATCAAAGCACAGAAGTGCCTGCACAAGAAAAACTATGCCTTCCTCGCTCACATTGTGGATAAAGCTAAATAAGAAGTAAACATTAAAGACATCCCAGTGGCATGTGACTTCCCGGATGTATTTCCCGAAGATCTTCCGGGAATACCCCCAGAAAGACAGGTTTAATTTCGAATCGACCTAATACCGGGAGCCACATCAATTGCCAAATCACCCTATAGGTTAGCTCCCACCGAAATGCAGAAGTTATCCAGTCAATTAAGCGAACTTCTGAACAAAGGATTCATCAGGCCAAGCTTCTCACCCTGGGGAGCCCTGGTCTTGTTTGTCAAGAAGAAAGACGGATCCTTCATAATGTGCATCGACTATCAGGAGTTGCACAAACTCACCGTCAAAAACCGATATCCACTCCCTCGAATTGACGATCTATTTGACCAGCTTCAAGGAGCTAGTTACTTCTCCAAAATAGATCTAAGATCCGATTATCATCAGCTCCGAGTCCGAGAAGAGGACATTCCAAAATCTGCTTTCCGAACTCGATACAGCCATTACGAATTCGTTGTGATGCCCTTCGTCTAACAAATGCCCCCGCAAGATTTATGGACCTCATGAATCGAGTCTACCGTCCATTCCTCGATAATTTTGTAATCGTCTTCATCGATGATATTTTCATATACTCCCGAAGTAAGGAGGAGCACGGTCAACATCTCCGTCAAATCTTGGAAACTCTAAGAGCTTAAAGGATATATGCAAAACTCTCCAAATGCGAGTTTTGGACTCGCAATGTAAACTTCTTGGGTCATGTAGTCAGTGAGGAAGGAATTCCTGTGGATCCTTCCAAGCTCAAGGCCATTGAAGGTTGGGTGATCCCGAAGACACCAACATAAATCCAACAATTCTTGGGTCTCGCAGGCTACTACCGAAGGTTTATTCAGAACTTCTCCAAGATAGCCAAGCCCCTCACCACTCTGACAAAAAAAGGCGTACCCTTCAACTAGACGGACAAGCAAGAAGCTGCCTTCCAAACCCTGAAGCGAGCCCTCTGTAGTGCTTCTGTGTTATCCTTAACAGAGGGAACCAAAGACTTTGTAGCATATTGCGATGCTTCAAACCAAGGGTTCGGTTGTGTCCTCATGCAGCGTGGGAAGGTGATAGCTTATGCGTCCAGGAAATTGAAGACACATGAAGTGAATTACCCCACCAGTGATCTTGAGTTGGGAGTCGTGGTCTTCGCCCTAAAAATTTGGAGGCACTACCTATATGGTACAAAGTGCACCATCTACGCGGATCACAAAAGCCTCCAGCACATTCTAAATCAAAAAGAACTGAACATGAGGCAGCGAAGGTGGGTTCAGCTGCTAAACAATTATGAATGAGAGATCAAGTACTACCCAGGCAAGGATAACGTGGTAGTCGATGCCCTGAGTAGGAAAGAATACTCAGGTCGCCGTGTGAAGACATTATCAATACCCATCCACTCCCACCTAACCTCACAGATCAAGGGAGCCCAATCAGAGGCATTGAAGCCAGAGAATGCCGCAAATGAAACACTGCGTGGGATGGATAAAAACCTTGAAGCCAAAGATGGCAGAGCTTATTACTTCATGAATAGAATTTGGGTCCCAAAATTTAGAGGATTCAGAGAGATAGTCATGAACGAGGCTCATAAAACACGATATCCAGGTTCAGATAAAATGTACCTGGACATTAAACAACATTATCGGTTGCCAAATATGAAGGCAGAGATCGCCACTTACGTGGGCAAGTGTCTCACTTGTGCCAAAGTGAAAGTGGAGTATCAGAAGCCCTCGGGGCTATTACAACAGCCAGTGATACCCAAGTGGAAACAGGAAAGGATTACCATGGACTTCATAACCAAATTACATAAGACAGTGGACGGATTGGAAGCTATCTGGGTGATTGTCGATAGGTTAACCAAATCCGCCAATTTCATGTCAATCAAGGAACCATACAAGATGGAAAGGTTTACACAAATCTATATAAAAGAGATCGTGAGACTTCATGGAGTACCAGTATCTATTATCTCGGATCGGGATAGTAGATTTACTTCACGATTTTGGCAGTCGCTCCAGAAGGCAATG